GAACAGTATTCAAGTTCCTCATGATCTTTCTGACACCTTCAAAGGTAGAATCTCGAAGAGAGTGTCCCTCCATTTCAACAATACACAGTCCTACATAGGCAGAAGACATAACACAACATTCAAATCACTGTAGATTAGTGAATGGACAGTCAAGCATATAAACTAGTAGTAATTTTTGGTTCAAATTACTTCAAATTTCATATTATGTGCTCCACCTAATTAATAACAACTGTATCAGTAAATTAGAACCATAGGGAGTCAGTCTTATAAATGAGCTCAAGAACAGCTCAGCCATGATGAAAAGCTAGAACTATTACATCATAATTCTACACTGGAGTCCCTTCCTAACTCATGCAATTCTTAATACGTCATAGCTAGCCATCAAATATGACTTGAGGCTTCAGCCCATGACTCTAGTTTACTGATAATGGCCTGTACAGCCTAATATTGGCATTTTGCCTAGTAAGGGATTGATGTTTACTATTCATTGCCACTGATTGATAATACGTTATACATGATCGTGAATTGATTTCTCTTTTTGTCATCAAGTTTGAGGTGGGGCCATCAAGTAACATGACACAAGCCATGAAACAATCAGTGACTTGAGAAATCTCTCAGCCTTCCTCTGGCATGGCCTCTTTTCTCTTACCTTTATGAAAAGAGGGTAAGAGTGTTTCTGTGTCAACTTTGTCCTCCATGTGCTTGAAGAGTATTATTCGTGCATGCCTCTCTCCGGAATGAGGACATTTAACGCCACCAACAATCCGTAAACCATTGTCTAATGAAAGAGAGAGAGAGAAGAAAGAACATAAACTCCAGCCTCTCTTTGTTACGCCATCCAGTAGCTAGTAATGTGAAATGTCTATCACTTACCATTCGTGAAAAACTGCAAAGGGACAATGACAGTGTGTTCATTATGACCATCAGACAAGCTCAGAGATCCCTGTAACAGGAATAACAAAGGTTAAAGGGAAGCTTCAAGTTTACGGCAGTACATTATAAGTATGTGCATGCAACAGGATAGAAGCTTTTTACGAGCTAGTGTTGTATTCTGAAGAATGATTACAACTATTGGCATATCAGGCTACAAGTGGGGGCTATGGAGTGTTTACTAGGACAAGGAGAAGAGTTCTTAAGATAACATGCCATGGAGAGTTAGCAAGTGTGAGATTTCGATGCTACCATGCAACTACTTGCATACTAACACACACCTTTACATGTCCTTCTTGGTGAGAGTATTCCTCCAGTGAAGAGACTGTTAGTTTCTCTATCTCCTCCTTGAGGCTCTCAGGGAGTGCATCAGCGGCGAGACACTGGAGAGGCAGTGGTCCAGTGGATCTGTAGCAGTCCTGTGGCAGTGTAATGTCTGGTGGTAGGCAGAGGCTACTCCGGCGACGGTAGGAATCATAGAGGGCCCGCTCAATGGTCCCTTTCCTCATGGAGTCGAAGCGAAGATCAGGCATTTTGGCGGTGCTGTGATTAGAGCAATGGCCGGTGGAGTACATGGGCATGAGCAGCTCTAGTCTGCTGCAGCATTGGATGGAAAGAGGATGATATGTTGATCGAGAGCTGAGGAGAGGCGGAGTTCTGGCCCTTTTGCCGACGCGGTCTCTGGCGGCGGCAATTATTTTCATTTTCCTGCTCTACTGCGCATGCGTACAACGACACGTGGGTGGGTTACCTTAATAGTCCTTTAGCTACAGGTGTCTTTCATCTCGTCAAAATGCAAAGGGTTCTCCTTTTAGGCTCTGGAAGGACCTGTCCTCCACTGGTGGAGCTCCTGACTAGAGATAAATGCGTTCAAGTCACAGTTGGTGAGTAGCACAGAACGAGAATTGAGAATTATCCAGTATTGTCCTTTCACTACAGCCTCTAATGACGCCTCTCAGGCCGAGAGTATGGCCAGGAGCTACCCAAATACAACTGCAAAGCATTTCAACCTCTCCCCAGACTCTGATCTCTCTCAATTAATAAAAGACCATGACTTAGTGATGAGGTACTGGGTGGGCGTGGTAAATTTTAATTACATGGGTGGGGCTGGGTCATGATTATCTTTTTCCCCTCCAGTTTAGTTCCAACGACATTACACACAATAGTAGCTAGACAATGCATTGACGCTAAGACCAACCTGGTAACTGCTAGCTACGTCAGTCCAGAGCTAGCGTCCCTTCATGACTCCGCCCAAGAGGCGGGTGTGGTCATTATGAACGAGTGTGGCCTTGACCCGGGCATAGACCACCTGCTGGCAATGGACTGCATTGACAATGTACATAAGAACAACGGAAAGGTAAGATTTATTCATGTTACAGTCCTTGTTATGAATTGTTACTTTTATTAATACTTCTTCTTACCATGGTATGATAATATTCTTGATACATGTTCTATTGATATTGTGTACTTTATTATTATTAATTTAATGTTATTTTATCGCCTATTGTTTTTAGATATTGTATTTTGAGTCTTGGTGTGGTGGCCTACCCCATTCATCTTTTGCTGGTAATCCACTTAGATACAAATTTAGGTAATAATTACAGTTTCCTACTACCAGTCCTTAATTAATGCAATTTATATTAAATTTCCTGCATAGCAAAGGATCCGTTATACATACTTACTTTTATTGATTGATAGTTGGAGTCCAGCTGGTGTGTTAATTGCAGCATGTAACCCAGCCCGCTACCTTAAAGGAGGGAAAGTGGTTGAGATACCAGCTGGTGGTGGGATCATGAGAGAAGTTAAACCAATGAGCAATGGATTCAGTACCTCCCTCCCGCTGGAAGGGTACCCTAACAGAGACTCACTCAAGTATAGGGATCTCTATGGTATCCAAGAAGCCGAGACTGTCATTAGGGGAACCTTGAGATACCAGGTATCCCTACCTAATACCTTTAATGATTGTCAGTATTATTATTTAGGGATACTGTAAGTCGGTCCTTGCTCTGTTGGAATTGGGTCTTCTTGACAATGAGACCATGCCAAGGCTCCAGCCCGATGCTGCTGACATTACTTGGGTAAGTGTAGTAAAGATGGACAATGTAAGGCCTTTGTTTTGATGTGTAGGAATCACATTTTAAAAAGTGTAATTATAATTTTAAGAAATAATTATTATGATTTTAAAACAGAGTGATCATGCTTCCTTCTTTTAGTCTCATAACATTTGGATTAATTCAATTTCACTTGTTTTTATATTTGTTGCCCACTTTGTTGTTGTTATGATGATGGAAGCAGGGAGGCATTGTGTACACTCACTCTTATGCTCACTTTATGTGGCTACGTGTATTCATGCTATTTATTCCTACTCTACTCTCCTTTGTTTACACACAAGCATCATTATTATAGCAACTTTTAAGTTCTCTCCCCACCCTCTCCCTTCTCTCTCTCTCTGACAGAGTGATCTATTAGCAATGCTACTATCAAGAACTGAGGTTAGAGGTTCCAATTTAAAAGAGTCAGTTTTAGAGGCTCTTCAAGGCGACAAAGAGAAGTATCAAATCATTCAAGAGTAAGTTGCAATAGCTACAAGCTCAAGGTGTTATTTTTGTACCTGTAGCCTTGGGCTCCTCTCTTCAACTCCAGTTAGCTTGGCTGGCACGCCATTAAGAGCTTTGGCTTCTCACTTAGAGACAATGCTGGAACTGGGTTAGAAGATTTAATATTTTAGAAAACTTTTGTTGTAATTTATTTTGATGAATATTGATGTACTGTAGAAAGTTTGAGCCGATTTCGGCTAAAAATTTCGAGTTGTGGCCATTTTAAGGAATAAGCCAATTTGTTGAAAAATACCCAAGGCTATAGCCCATGGTTTTTTCCAAAAAATGGCTCCAAAATCATCCCAAATTTTTATTACATTTTCTGATACATATTGATGTCCTTATGCTGTGTAGAAAGTTTCAGTTGATTCCGACAAGAAATTTTCAAGTTACAGCCATTTTAAAAACGGGCCAAATTTTGAAAAATACCCAAGGCTATAGCCCATGGTTTTTTCTAGAAAATGGCTCTGAAATCACCCCAAATTTTTATTACATTTTTTGATACATATTGATGTCCTTATGCTGTGTAACAAGTTTGAGTCAATTCCGATAAGAAATTTTTGAGTTACGGCCATTTTAAAAAACGGGCCAAATTTTGAAAAATACCCAAGGCTATAGCCCATGGTTTTTTCTAAAAAATGGCTCCGAAATCACCCCAAGTTTTTATTACATTTTTTGATACATATTGATGTCCTTATGCTGTGTAGCAAGTTTGAGTCGATTCCAATAAGAAATTTTTGATTTATGACCATTTTTAAAATGGGTCAAATTTTGAAAAATACCCAAGGCTATATAGCCCATGGTTTTTTCCAAAAAATGGCTCCGAAATGGCGTCCAATTTTTATTACATTTTCTGATACATGTTGATGTCCTTATGCTGTGTAGAAAGTTTGAGCTGATTCTGACAAGAAATTTTCGAGTTACAACCATTTTAAAAAACGGGCCAAATTTTGAAAAATACCCAAGGCTATAGCCCATGGTTTTTTCTAAAAAAATGGCTCCGAAATCATCCCAAATTTTTATTACATTTTTTGATACATATTGATGTCCTTATGCTGTGTAGCAAGTTTGAGTCAATTCCGATAAGAAATTTTTGAGTTACGGCCATTTTAAAAAAGGGGCAAATTTTGAAAAATACCCAAGGCTATAGCCCATGGTTTTTTTATCCAAAAAATGGCTCCGAAATGACGTTTAATTTTTATTACATTTTCTGATACATATTGATGTCCTTATGCTGTGTAACAAGTTTGAGTCAATTCCGATAAGAAATTTTTGAGTTACGGCCATTTTAAAAAACGGGCCAAATTTTGAAAAATACCCAAGGCTATAGCCCATGGTTTTTTTCCAAAAAATGGCTCCGAAATGACGTTTAATTTTTATTACATTTTCTGATACATATTGATGTCCTTATGCTGTGTAACAAGTTTGAGTCAATTCCGATAAGAAATTTTTGAGTTACGGCCATTTTAAAAAACGGGCCAAATTTTGAAAAATACCCAAGGCTATAGCCCATGGTTTTTTCCAAAAAAATGGCTCCGAAATCACCCCAAATTTTTATTACATTTTTTGATACATATTGAAAGTTTACATGTACTTATTGAGCAGGTCCTGATGAGTATGATACAGTGTTGCTCCAGCACATTGTCGGCATAGAAAATTCAAATTCAACTAAAGTTAGCCTTTATACAATAATAATTCTATAAAATGGAGTGTGATTCTTTTTTTCTGTAAACACTGAAGGAAGAACACTGCATCACGCTACATATGGACGGAGATAAGAACGGCGACACAGCAATGTCAAAGCTTGTCGGAAAGACGGCCGCCATAGCTGCAAAAATTATATTATCAGGTAAGTTGTAGACCTTGTCTACAAGGTTGATTCTTGTTCCTCGTTAGGCCAGTATAAACGTAAAGGAGTCCAGCGACCATTAACACCTGACATTTATGAGCCAGCTCTTAAAGCTCTACAAGACGAAGGAGTCCATTATGACATAAGTGTGAAGAAGATGTAGGCGTAGAAGAAAGCCGGTGAACGTGCTGAAGCTGTTTGCTATAAACCTAGAGCTCTTCAGCCTTTATTGTAACTTGTATTTTTAATCCATGCTGGTATAGAATTAATAATCATAATAATAATAATAATAATAATAATAATAATAATAATAATAATATAATAATAAAATAATGTTGTTTCATGTCAGTGTCGTTCATGTGTGTGTAGCCAGTTATACTTTGCTTCTGTCCTTTGCTGTGTTCAGTGAATGATTCCGGAACATTCCGAATGCTCCAAGGTGCTGCTCAAGATGAGAGTCAAGAAATTCAAACAAATACTAAATTTGAATAATGCAATTTTGTGTTTCTTACCTTTGTAAATGCTTGTGATTTACCGTAGTACTGTGTAGGCATTGTATGAACACTTGGTGGCTGTGAACTGTGTGAAAATGAAGAAGAATATTATCAGAAGAAGCTCCTTACCCATATGTCACTGAGCTAGTCCTGTACATTGGGTTCTGTGGGACTGTGTTGTAGCCTTTTATCAAATCTGTCGTGAACAATAAGGCTTTTCAATAGCAAATTAACGTGCTATATCTATTTACCTGGTCTATCGAATCTCTCTGGTATATTCTTTGTCCTGTAAAAGTCAGAAGTTCTAGGCGGATCTGCGACTCGAGATTCCTCGGTGGCCATGTTGTTATTCGGTAACCTAGGTGACGCCGTTTCCATGGCGATAATCCGCGAAAGTTTGGGAAAAGGATAGCTTGTCTTTCTTGATAAAAAAAAGTTCTCGTATTCCTCCAAGACTACTCACAATGCCCGTGACAATGGACACTCAGCAGCAAAACTTTTGGCTGGAGAACATACAAAAGGAAGCAGCCATTAGGTTTGCATGGCAACTCAGATACTCCAAAACTTTTGGCAGAGCAGTAGCTGGCTCACCACAGCAGCAAAAAGACAAAAAGAAAGAGCAAGAGAAGAAGAAAAAGAAAGAACCAGTCAGTGGAGGAATACGCTCAAACCTCTCTGCTCAGATACACAGGCTGCAAGAAGATGACGATAAGGAGAGCCTACTTGATGCTGCCGCCAAAGGGTTTGGGTCTCCTACATCAAACAAGCAGTCACTGCCAATACGTGACATGCGACCACCTTCAGTCAACACTAAGAAGCTCCTTTACAATGGGATCAGCGCTCACGGTGAAGGAAGGTACGCCTATCTGAAGAGACGTTCTAATCTCCCTCCAGAAATGAAGTACGAGTATCCCGTACTCTCCTCCAACCTTCATGGATGGAAGATCATTGAGTATGCAAAAGAGCCGCAGAGATCACCTTATGGACGCACTTGTATCATTAGGGACACCTTTTACAGGAACAGTGGCATTACACTCACTTAGTTGGTAGTTGTTGCAACATACAATAATTGAATAGATCATGATTATGATTGCTTATTGTTCATGGCAATGATTACTATCTGCTATTATGATTCATGGTTGGTTACATGCACACGCACAGTTAGTTTGTCTTTCTTTCCAAATCATAAATTCACTTAAAATTGATGTACTGCTGCATAGCAATGAGTAAAGGAGCATAATGCAAAAGTGATTGAAATGAAGCTGATTACTATTTTGATGCCAATCTGGTTTGAACTTTGACCAATCAGTATAATTATTATAATCATGAGAAAGCATTAAATGGCAACCTTCATCTTGTCGTACAGGTACAGTAACTGTTATTAGTATAAAACAATGATGGATACAATGTGAATGTTATATGTCTTCAGATATTAGAGATGAAACTTGATCAACAGTTGATGCCATTATATCATGTGCCTATAAAGAAAACAGTTGAAATTATTCATTGTTGTAATTTTCAGAATTTCGCATACCACCGAGAGAAAGATTTCTTTATACTTTAAAGTTAACATTGGGTCAATCTCTGATGGTTTTGATGGAATTGCATTACTGTTACTAGTGTCTTGCTATAAAGGGAAAATGTAAATTAATGTAAATTTTAGCAATAAAGAACTAGAGAAAGAAAGTAAAAATTTTTTTCTAACTGTCTCAACTGATGGAATTTTTGATATCTTGCTATTTCCTTTCACTGTTCAAGTAATTATATCATTAATAGTTGGACTTTTACTGTACACTTACTGTTACTGCTTCCTCCTTTCTTGTTTGACTTTGGGCCACCTTTCTTACTAGTAGGCTATAACAAAGGAAAGAAGACATTACTCCAACTCTCTCACTTGTACTTGGCTCTTACTCTTTGCTGGAGTTGCTCCTTCTCTTTCTCTTTCACACTAACTTCTTTCACTTTACTTCCTCTCTTGCTCTGATCTTTTTTGCTTGATTGTGGAGGGATAATAACTACACACAGTGAATTATTTATGCATGAGAACTTGCTCCAAACCATCTTCCTTTACCTGGTGATGAAGGCTGACTTGATTGATCAAGCTCAGATTGTGACTCTTCTTCTTGGAGTCCTCCAGCTGAGGGAGAGTCCTTTGAAGGAAGTCCCATTACTTGTCTAAGGTGCTCTGAAGTGCTCACTAAAGTGTCAATGGCCTCACACAGCAAGAAGTAACTAAGTGAATAAAGTATGGATGTAAATTCATATTTTAGTTGTTTCTCTGCTACGTTTTAATGTATCTTGTGGATCTTGGAGCAGAAGGCAGTGGTGCACTGATTTCAGATATGATTGCATTCAATGTTTTATATTTGTCCTCTCTCACATTGCCATCATCAATCTCCAGTATCAGCTACAAGAATCATGAATAAATTACATGTACATGTACATATATTATCATATATTATGTGTGTATCAACCTTCTCTAATGTGTTTAGTGATAGGTCCCATGGAGGGAAATTCAAATCTACAGAATGGTCAGGATCTGCTTTAAAAAAGCTTGTAAAGTTATGCACACAATTTTTTATTATCTTACTTGTATCTACGTGAAGCTGCTTGTGACTTTCCTCTTTATTTATTTTCTTCCCCCCAGCTCCTCCTCCTTTTTTAGGTTCTTGTTGTTTTTTCCCGCCAACAGTTCCTCCTCCTACTGCTCCTCCTCCTCCACTTTTCGTGGGTTCTTGAGGAGGTGTGGGATTATGTAGGTCAATGTATAAAGCTTTGAGCTGCTGGACAGCATTATAATGATAATAGACCTAGAGTTGTATAAAATTAATAATTATGTAAAATTATATCTAATTTTCTATCAAACTTTTTATAGTATTGCATATTTTTTATTAGAAAATTTTAGGACCCATCCTGATAAATACCCTTTACTGTAGTACAAGAATTTTGGCCCAATTTTTGAGCAACTTAAAAAATTTGTAAAAAATTCAGAATTATCGGAATCAGCTCAAGCTTTCTACACAACATAAGAACATGCATATGTATCAGAAAAATAGTATAAAACAATTTTGGTAAAATTTGGCCAAAGACAACTTGTCATAATATTATAGCAGACATACCCCAGGATTCTTTGAAAGGAATTCACTCTCCTCCTGTAAAAAGAAAAATAAAATATATTACAATAGAGCAATACATCCAGCATGATGGGGTCAATAATTTCAGCATACTAATTGCAAGAACATGACTTACAGTAATTGCAAAACTTACCGGTATATTGACAGGTAATGGTGTCACTGAACGGGGAGGAGTGTGTATCGTATTAACCAACTGATCAACTAGTCTCTTCGATGTAGCCTTAGCCACATCGTGATATAACTTTCTCTGGAGTAAAGAAAGAAAGAGAGAGACAGAGGGAGAGAAAAGAAACAGAAATGAAAGAGGAATAAGCACACATGCCATGTACATGCATGTTATATGTACATGCATACCTCAATCATATCTCGTTTCTCTTGGTACAGATCAGGTTGGAATGAAACTCCTTTAAGAGTTACATACAAAGGACTCTGTCCATTATTACTGAGCAGTACTGGCCTAGTCACTATCTCCCAAGTCTCTGAGAATATGCCAGGGTTTGGTGACTTGAATATAAAGTCAAGACTGAGATTTCTCCCAGGAAGAATGACACCTATATGTACATGTATATACATGTATGTGCACACAAAAAATACTAATAAATTAATATGATAAATTTACCTTCTCTGGTATCAAAGTAGAACCGCTGCTGGGTTTGTTCTGAAGTTTTTAAGCCAAGTTTACTAGTGCCAGGAAACTTCTAAAATGCATGCACATATAAGTAAATAATTATTATTTAGTGTTGGAGGTAGGAGGAAATTTAAATTTTTAATTGTGGCCATGCACCGTTGAACATCTACATAATGGTTAAAATCGATTTGCCACAATTTCCACCACCAGATTCAACAGTTGTATACATGCATACATACATTATAACTACATGTATAATTCATACTTTACCTTCCAAGTGAAACTGATGGCAACAGTTCCTCTATTCTGCAATACAATGTGGTTCATTGCTAGCTGCTGAATACCAGCTTCAAAGAGGATCCTAATCTTATAGTCATCTCTCCTCATCTCTCTCTCTCCTTCTCCTCTCCCCCCGTCTCCAAACCATGCATACAGTTGGTCCTGTATCTGAAGGGCGGGGCCAATGAAAGGAGAGGCTGCTACGTCAGGATGAGTGTCTAATAAGCTAACACTTCTATAAAATAATAATAATAATAATATAAATATAAAAATGATAATAATAACTAATATAAAAATGATAAAATAATGTATATTACACACTTACTCTTCTAAGCTGTTGCAGGCGCTAGTCCTTCCATCTTCCCCCCTCTCTCTCTCTTCATCATCTTCATCTTCTTCATTGAATAGGCTCTCCCCTAGTGAGTCCAGTGAATGGGATGAGCCAAGAGGAGGAGGAGGGGGGAGGACAGAGGGCTGGACAAGACCTCTTAGCTGAAGACTGTCAAAATCCTAATGACGAGAAGAAAGACAAGATGATAAAGAACAAGAGATTGAGAGAAAGATAAAGTTCTTACCACTGGGTATTTTGGTTCTGAAACTGCTCGTGAAAGCTGTTCCTTTCTTTTCCATAAATACCTGGAGCGGCTCCATGTTTGAAACATGTTATTTCTATTGGTCGCTGACGAGGGACAGCTAATGAAGCCAGTCACAGGTGGATCTCCTTTCTCTGTCTTTGTCAGCGTGGTCCTACACACATACAATAGCTACATTGCACGACTGTACTTTATTTTGGTACCTAATCCCAGTTACTGGATCACCTACTGTTGACTGCAATCTCCAAAACTCGCTACCGACAAAATCTAAAAAATGATGGCCTTATCACAAGACACATGTACATGTACATGCACAGGTATAGGTACATGTACAGGTACACTGGTATAGGTACATGTACAGGTACACTGGTATAGGTACATGTACAGGTACACTGGTATAGGTACATGTACAGGTACAGGTACATGCACAGGTATAGGTACATGTACAGGTACAGGTATAGAATTTGATACAAGCAGTACATGGACTAGAATGAATATACATGTACTTGCTGTACTTTTACCACTTACGTCCTTTTCCACTATCGATTGCAGGTATTGCTCTATCAATGAAGCTCCTATTGTGTATATTGTGAACTATTAATGACAAGTATAGACACATTCTTTCAGTACCTTTCTTCTTGAACTCTTCTAAAAGTATCTCCATAATTCATCGTCAGGTCACCTTTCTCTCCTTTGAGACGCTCTACAAAGAAGAGGGAGAGAGAGAGGGATAGAAAGAGAGAGAGAGAGATAGCCAGAGAGTGAGAATGATTGATAAAGAGATGATTTTCCTTACTTGATATTCTTTCCTGAATGACTTTCCTTCTATTTATTTGTTTCTCCCAATTAGATAATGCATTAGTCTCTTTGGGCTGTAAAGAGAAAGGACATATCATAACACAGTGAGGTAGCATACAGTTAATAATAATCATTATTTAATCATTATTATTATATTATAACACAGTGAGGTAGCATACAGTTAATAATAATCATTATTTAATCATTATTATTATATTATAACACAGTGAGGTAGCATACAGTTAATAATAATCATTATTTCATCATTATTATTAATTTTATGTCTTACTATTGCTGGCGTTGATTTATTCTTCTTCTTGGATACTTTCGGTAAAACTACTGGAGGCACTGTAGAAGGAACGGTTCCAGTTAAAGACTATAAATAAATAAAATAAAATAAAATAAATCCCTCTCCCTCCCCCCTCTCTCTCACATTTCTATCAGCTAGTCTTGATTCAGTGTATTCTTCAAAGGTCCCAATAATGCTGTGACTGATGAAGACGTTATCTTGATCACACCTTGGACCACTTTTGAGCGAACCTAGCATGTGCATGGTAGCTGTACACATACTCAATTACAAGTTCTTACCTAATAATTTAGTTTTTGCTGGTCTAATTTCAAGAGGCATCGGATGAAGTACAACCACACTACAAAAAATACAAAAATAAATTAGCATAATTAAAAATTAATCAATAATTACATGTACATGTATTAATTTAATTTAATTGGTTGCTTTTTATCACATTTACCCAAAGGCATAACAATAATAAAACTAACTGTTTGGTGTTTTCTGGACGAGGGGAAGGAGTAGGAGGCAGCTCCTTAACAAAGACTCTGGTTTCTTTTATTTCTGGCTCTAACGGGTCTTCATTTGCTGGATGGAGCTAATAAAATAAGAAAAACTGTACACCTTTTACTATTTTTCCCTCTAGTTTTACTTCTTTCAAGTGCTCCTCCGTAACACGGAGCAGTTTAATCTCATCATTAACCAACGGGTCATCAATAGATGTCTCGTGCTTATTGCTAGTCACCCCAACGCTAGACTGGGAGTTTGTGGCGGTACTCGGGTTGCTATTGGGGCTGCTGGTCTTCCTCTTGTTGGAGGAGGACTTGATTTTGAAGGACATTTTGTTAGACATGGTTTCTTTTTTCTCTCTCTCTCTCCTCCTTTTATTTTGTTACCATAACAACCTATATTTAACCCTTAAAATGGCGTCAAGTCCGGATACTCCAAGCACGTTGATTCACGTGGAAGCAACAAATTAAATTAGTTTTAACTTTTAAAATGGCTGAAAATATTACAGAGAAAGCTACACCTTCTGTCTCCTTTAAATTAAGTGCTACCGGCTCTAATAAACGCGGAGCCTCATCTTTTAAAAGAAGCAGCGACACTGAGGGCAACGACAAGCAAGATAAAGACTACATACTGTCAGTGGAAGACAAAAAATTGAACAGGTAGCCTATATACATAATAATTATTATATTTATTGAGTGATTAATTTTTTAAAATATAAATATTTTAAAATAAATACACAATTATTTTAAAATATTTAAATTTTAAAAATCAGTGCCGTTCCGAAGCCCCCACCTCGTGAGTACATCATCCCACTAATTAAAACCAATATCTGGCGGAATCCTACTCAAGATGTGGGTGTGGTTAACCCAGAGCAGGCCACAGCCACTGAGAGACTCAATAGACTAAAGGGGGTGGAGTCAGGATCAGTGGCCACGCCTTCTGAGGAGACCAAAGAGACTGATATGAATATAATAGCTGCTAAGGCGATACTGGAAGGTAAAGTTAGGGTAATATTTTACTGTCCTTTTAAAAGATGCTAGATATAAGATCCGGTGTATTTGGAGAGGATCAAAGAGGAGGAGGAGGAGGAGGGAAGGCTGAGGGTGGCCTGGTCATTCCATTGATAATGCAGAACAAACCTCCTGTCCAAGCTGACGATGATAAACTAACTGACCTACCCTACCGACCAGAAGAGGTAACTAACTTATACTCTAACACACACTTTATTCATAACAGCTGCAAAACTACATGTACATGTATGTGCATCAGAAACCTAATAGTTCCATTGTCACAAAATTCGTGACAAGCAAAAAACCCATTAGTTCCATTGTCACAAAATCTGTGACAAGCAAAAACCCATTAGTTCCATTGTCACAAAATCTGTGACAATTTTTGGAGTGAATTAAAAAATCCGTAAAAAATCCAGTTTTGATCAGAATCAGCTCAAACTTTTACACAACATAAGAACATGTATATGTATGAGGAACCATTATTAAGATGGAGAATTCTCTCCTTTTCAATTTTGGCAAAATTTAACCCATGACCATGTACTATATATAGTCCATGGTTTTTTCCAAAAAATGGCTCCGAAATGACGTCCAATTTTTATTACTTTTTCTGATACATATTGATATCCTTATGCTGTGTAGAAAGTTTGAGTCAATTCCGACAAGAAATTTTCAAGTTACAGCCATTTTTAAAAACGAGCCAAATTTTGAAAAATACCCAAGGCTGCCCATGGTTTTTTCCAAAAAAATGGCCCCGAAATCACCCCAAATTTTTATTACATTTTCTGATACATATTGATGTCCTTATGCTGTGTAGAAAGTTTGAGTCGATTCCGACAAGAAATTTTCAAGTTATAGCCATTTTAAAAAACGAGCCAAATTTTTAAAAATACCCAAGGCTATAGCCCATGGTTTTTTTTCCAAAAAATGGCCCCGAAATCACCCCAAATTTTTATTACATTTTCTGATACATATTGATGTCCTTATGCTGTGTAGAAAGTTTGAGTCGATTCTGACAAGAAATTTTCAAGTTACAGCCATTTTTAAAAACGAGCCAAATTTTTAAAAATACCCAAGGCTATAGCCCATGGTTTTTTTTCCAAAAAATGGCCCCGAAATCACCCCAAATTTTTATTACATTTTCTGATACATATTGATGTCCTTATGCTGTGTAGAAAGTTTGAGTCGATTCCGACAAGAAATTTTCAAGTTACAGCCATTTTTAAAAACGAGCCAAATTTTGAAAAATACCCAAGGCTATAGCCCATGGTTTTTTCCAAAAAATGGCTCCGAAATGACGTCCAATTTTTATTACATTTTCTGATACATATTGATGTACTTATGCTGTGTAGAAAGTTTGAGCTGGTTTCAACTAAAATTTTTCCAGTTATGACCATTTTAAATGCAAATTTTTGAAATAAAGCAAAGACTGTTATGGTTTTTGCTTTCTTCTGAAAGCAAAAACTTCTTTTCTCTCCCTCTCTTTCTCTTTCTCTCCCTCTCTTTCTCTCTCTCTCCCTCTCTTTCTCTCTCCCCCCCTCTCTCTCTCTGTTAGAGTACCCTCAGTGATTATGCTAGTATGCCAATTGAACACTTTGGGTCAGCCATGTTGAAAGGAATGGGCTGGAAGCCAGGCCAAGCCATTGGACTCAACAAGAAGGGGTATGTACATGTACAAGTACTGGAGGAGCATATTCTACTGGAGCATATGCTAATGATTCTCATTGTGTGTAGATTGATTGAACCGATTGAGTACATACCACATCCAGGGGGTCTGGGACTGGGGGCCACCCCTAAACCCCCCGACCCAAAGAAGAAAAACAGGATAAAGAAACCAGGAGAAATTGAGATAAAAGTCAGGAGAAAAGACAGTGAGAGAGAGAATGACCATTGTTACATTTTAGTGGTTGTTAAATTGTTTCTGTTCAATTGTCTCTTATGATAACAGTTTGTCCTATTAACCTCTTTCTCACGCACCATGCAGTTACTGCCAAGCATTATAGTTATTATTATTGTCTATCAATCTTACCCTCTGCCTTTCATGATTTCTTAATAAAGAGACCGAAGCCTTATAAAGATAAAGATGGCCGTGTGAGACATGTCAAGAAAATTGGAGAAGAAATACCAGAAGAGAAACCAGAAGGTACATGTACATCAAGTTGTCAGAGCGATGCATCATTGTCGCCATGGCAATAGGTTTTCATGTGGGGAACTTTGCTCGAGTGATTGACGGACCTCATGAAGATCTTTATGGAAAAGTGAGAGTGAGGGGAGGGCGGGAGGGAGAGAGGGTGGAGGGAGAGAGAGGTGAGGGAGAGAGGGGGAGGGAGGGAAAGAGATGAAAGGAGAGGGCGAGACTCGAGAGAAGAAAGAGTATAAATTTAAGATAAGATAGACAGAAGAAAGAGAGAGAGAGAGAGGGAGGGGGGTGGCGGTAGTGATAGAGAAAGTATATAGCGAAGGAAAGTAAGTGAAGTGACTCGTGGTTAGTTATTAATTCTTTAATTTTTAGATTGTTTCGGTCGATGAGAAAAATTCAACACTCGTCCTTAGACTAGTCATTAACAATGAGGTAATAATGATGTAATCAACCTTATAATGATATGCGTGCATGCGTGGCTGCATGCATGCACTCTCTCTCACCAACACAAATAGTCCAACTTTATGCAGTGCCCACTGTATTAACCAGTGGCGACAGTCTGTCTCCGGAGGTTCTTAAACGCAACTAGATGATTGTTAGAGAGAAGTAGAGAGTTGTCCCTCCTTCCTAACACCATTGTGTATACTTTCCCTCAAATCTGCCAGCCTCTTTCCTCAGTAGACCACTCCTTGACACTCTCCATAAGGGCCTCTGAGTGTTTAAGAGGTTTTTATAGCCTCCTGGGAAACCATTGCCTTTCTTTATATAGCCAAGACTGGCACTGCTATGCAAGCACCTTGATAACATCTGTGCCTTAATAAAAGCTAGGGTAGGGCCTTTACTTAATGCTATGGTACTCTTCTCTCCTCTCTTTCATGAATTTGCTTATTAAGTAAGTGAGTTTGGATTTGAGCATAATCCAGACATACTAGCAGTATAATGGCTATGTATATAAGGCCCCAGCTTATTCTGTTGAGTATACATAGACTTTAATAATGACGTGGTGTATAGAGAAGTACACTATTAGCTACTTGTCTTAAGTGGAAATGTATTCAGAGTGGTGGGAAGGAGGCCTGGACAGAGGCTGGGGTTAGATACTGTACAAAAATCAAACTGTTTGTATTTCTTGCACACGTTCACCTAGTTACTCTTCCCTCCTGCTCTAACTGTACATGTACATGCCATTCCATTGACACAATGTACATATACATTCTATATCCTTCTGTGTACATAGGCTCTACACGTACATGTATGTATCTGCCTTTGTGTGAATGTTAGGAGTTAGACTGTTCCTTATCTCAGACCTGTAACACTATAGCTCACAGTCTTTCTTAATCTCCATATCAATGTCACTTGAGCTGTGTGTCCTTTCCAGGCTCGCCCTCTTATGGGGAGGCGTCTATATCTATCAAGCAGCGATATTATGGAGTATCGGGTTCACATGTTAATATCTTATCATAAAGATGATATTATACTTATATAATAATAGAATACATTGTCCGAATGTGCAATTGTTACTTTACGTGGCTCATTTTGTATCCATAATTAAATATTAATGTATTTATACTGTACAGAATTGCTTATGCATTATATTCACTGTAATGGTTATTATTCTCAAGTCTGATGATGCTTAATGTGAGCTAGTGTTAATTAACAGTGTCTCTGTCTTTCTCTTATCTCTAAAGTCTCCAATTACAGCTATTGGTATCAACAGGTTCCATTCAAAGCTTATGGACAGGTGATGATTGATAGCATTAAGTTACCTTGAGAGCGGCTGCTCAATAATCAATATTGAAGAGGTCGGCTGCATGTACATGTACATGTGTGAATAATAGATAACAATTTGAATTGAGGTCATCACCAGTATAATATCTACTGTGATATGAATCTGTTGGCGGTTCCTCCTGTACTGCTCCTCCTGTACTCTGCTCTTGTTTACTAGCCGTATCTTGTTATGTACACTCATGCCTCGTGTCACACTTCCTATCACTTATCATCATATAACATTTGTAGTAAATAAAATAAAATATGCTTTAGCTTTTATGTACATTGTATGTGTACATGTACATTGTATTGGAGACATATTGTTCATGTTTGATTTCGTATGCTGTAGAATCTGAGATTTAGTACGAATCATCTTGAAGTTGTGTCTGAAGAAGAATTCAAAAGATTTGGAAGATCAACAAATGGTATAGCCATAGAGTGTTGTTGTTTTATTTTTAAAAGTATGCCTATATTTCTGTCTTTCATTTTAACTCAGTCAAAAGAGAATCTAAACCATTTGAAAAAGAATACGGACTTATCTTGTCTAATAGGTACATGTTATACTCCATTTTATTGTGTCTCTACACTCATGCAGATCAACCTCCTCTCTTGACTCTAATAATATTTCATCTCAAAGAAAGAAGCGCCCGATTTCTCCCCCTACTCCTCCTTCTATCTCCAAAGAAGAAGAGCTCAGTAGGAAACCAAAACGAGACCCATACTCTGGAAGGAGTGAGGAAGGAGAGACAGAGAGAGCCTTTAGTCACAAGGAAAGAAAAGACAAAGATGGCAGAGAAAAGAGGAGAGAGAAAGATGGTGGCAGTGCCAAGAGAAGTACAAGGGATGATAGTAGACACAAGAGAGGGAAAGAGCAAATTAAAAGAGAGAGGGAGCATGATGACAAGGAGAAGGAGGGTCGCCCTGTCAAGAAATATTCAAAAGTGTCTTTGCATAAAAGTAATGATGACATTTGGGTATCATCAAATCTTAAAGTACGCATCATCGACAAGGAGTTTAATGGAGGGAAATATTACAACAAAAAAGTAATAATAATAATAATAATAACTATATACAATATAATTATACCCATGCATGGCTAATGGTATAATTATATACTGTAAAGTAATCTCAGACAATTAACCCATTGTCCTATGTACATAGACTATGATTTAGAGGTCATAGTTTATCTCGTAACAACAAGTTACTAAGAAATATAATATAATCCATGTTGGCTCTATTGTTATTATTATTCACAGTAGTTCCGGTTTGATCCTGATCTATGTGTACATGTATACGCGTGTACATGTACATGTGCATATAGTTGTGTTTTGAAATATGATATTTCTTATTTCATAGGTAGTTGTTATTGATGTCATCCGCATTGATAATTGTATCTGTCAGACTGAAGACGGAAGGTTATTAGAAGGTGCATGAGTACTTAATATTTGATTTATCTTCTCTTCTTTTCTCTCATATTCTCTGTATCACTCTCTCTCACTCTCTTTGTCCTTCAATTTATAACATGCCCTCTTTCTCCCTCCTCTCTCTCTCTCTTCACACACCTTTACAGGGTTAAGTCAGGCAATGCTAGAGACAATAGTTCCCAAAACTGATGAAGCAGCTGTGATGATAGTGTCAGGAGAGAGGAAGAGAGAGGTGAGCATATCGTCCTGTGTACATGTACATGTACATTATACATGTACATGTACATGTACATGTACATGTACATGTACATGTACATGTACATGTGAGAGTGTGCACGCGAATCTGACAATTGTGTCATGTGTATTAAAGCAATATCGGGTTTCTTGTTTAAAATTAATTTAGCTTTGATCTAACAGTTCCATGTAAATGCACATGTACCTTAAGTTCCAAAGAGATGCAAGCACCTCATACACTATACTGTATGTGCTATGCCTTCCTTTTTTGTATGACCCTCTTTCTCTCCACCACCACCTGTATGTATACATGTACACTTTACATGCTGTGAATAATCTTACAATAAGAGCTTCCCTCCCAACCTCTTGTCTCAAGGAGCAACTACTTTACAACCTCTTAACTTGAAGTGGCTTAAGAGGACTCCATCCCTCCTTAACTCAAGGACATTCTCTAAACATTCAGAGAGGGACACAGAGGGAGAGGGCATGTCAGCTTCAATTAGTACAGCATTCAGTGAACATGTGTTATAATGTCCTGTTAATGCAAGGCAGTCAGTGTGTAATGGACTAGCTCTCAGTAATAGTAATTGTAATTCATGACATTTACACACATTTAGACTCTATAAGCATACATGTACTCCTTGTAATCATGCAGTGGACATTATGTGCATGTGGAAACTGCAGGCCCTAAAGTACATGTACATGACTGGGTCTGCTAGGTTGTGAGTATTTCATTATTTAGATTAAGTCATTTCTTTAACACACACACACACACTCACACACACACACTCACTGACACATGCACATTGTATAAAGAGACACTGGAGTCAGAGAGAACCTTATCAAATTGTTTATGAATTTGGTGGTTGATGGTTGCTGATGGTGGTCAGTCATTGCTACCACATTTTTTTAAAACCATCCAACTAGCCACAGGTAGTCTCTTAAGCAAACTCCTTTCTCTTTTCAAAATTGAATTATAGAACAAGGCCAGCTTTGAGGCTACTTGGGGCAGGTGCTATGCTATAGAGAGTAGGCAGAGCAAAGAAGGGCTTAGCCCTTGAGGTTAGGATTGTTAAAGCACTTCATGGCGGTCCTCTCTTGAAAGGCCAGCCTCTTAGCAGTCCCACTGTGTTGAGTAGCAGCCACAGGTATGTACACAAGGTTGTCCTGAAAGGCTGAAGGAGGATACCTCGTCTATTAGTCCATCCTTGAAGGAGGGGAACAAGGATTGCTGAGTTAGCTACTGGAGCTGTTTTCCTCTTTCCCTTAGACTACAACTTGTTAATACTATAGTGCAGCTGGTCTTTTATTGGTCCTCCATAATGTGTATGTACATGAGCACAGAGAAGCGTGTGGTATTTCATTTACCTACATAATTAACATAGGGACAATGATTATGATAATGAATAATACTAAATGTGTACATGCATCATTTTATAATAATGATAATGATAATAGATCAACAACAACAACAACAACAATGACAACAAAGTAGTTTATATAGCGATAGTCTTGTTAGACTGTTATGAGTTATGCATTTTCTAGTTGGCTTGATGTTTACTTAGTCACCAATGTTGTTTATGTGTGTGTTTGTGGTTTGGTGCTTTTGTTATTAAGCCCAGCTGCAGTTTCATATCAATAGTTCATATAAACAGACATTTTGTGTTTAATCTAATGCCAGACTCTATGATTTGTCCAGCTGTCTTATTAATGTACACCATTTGCATTTGTTTACTGGTATAATAATTGCTATGTGGCTTTAGGCTCTCTCTTTCTTTTCTCTCTCTCTCTCTCTCTCTCTCTCTCTCTCTCTCTCTCTCTCTCTCTCTCTCTAGTTTGCTAGTATAATTCAAAGAAACAGTAGCAGCTGTCAGGCGTTGGTTAGGGTGATGCATTCAGATGACATATTAACATTAGGATATGATGAACTCTGTGAATACGTTGGGAGAGATGTCAGTGACAGATAGCATTCATTTTTACCTGTACAATGTACAATTTTAAATAATAATATTTAATAATTATTTTTATTAATGATAATTTTTTGTCACAATGATATTCATGATAATCTGGATAATAATTATTAATTAATAATAATTTGTACTTTTTGCCGCGCTTTCATTTGATTGGTCAGCTACGGATTTCTCGAGGCCATAAAAGAGGATCCATTACAATCCCAAACTGCTCTTTGTGGACCATTATTCCAGCAACTGATCAACTCAGTCACTCTTCCTCCAAGACTCATAATTCTCCTACACCTTCCTCCGTACAGCTAGCTTTCAGTCCTCCTCCTCGTCAAGTAATGGCCTGCAGACTGGAGCCCTCACCTATGTCTTTCCAAAACGTTCACTGCTCCATGCTTATCGATTCATCAGGAAGCCTTCCAACCCTGACGGTGCAACCGGCTGTACAGTACACCAATGGGACAGTTACTGTTAAACCTTACAAGAGACCGCAGCAACCTCCACATCTTGTGTCTGTCCCTACTCCTCCAGGTACTGTGGTAGTCAGCACCACTACACAAGGAGTTGTCCAGCCACAGCATCCAGCTGTCACGTCTTCTTGCTCGTATTCCTCTTGTCCTCCTCCAATTCGTCCAGTACAACTCCCCTCCTCATCATACACAGGCTCCTTTGATCCCTTCCCTCCCTTCCCTTACAGGGCTACCATGGCTCCTCCTTATACCCCCAATACTCCTCTTACTCCGGCCGGAGACGACTTACAATTCGACGGTCTCTTCGATCTGCCTCCTCTCATGGACCTCAATGATGAGAAACCTCTCTTTGACGATAGCACCTTTGTTGATTGTCTCCGTGGTATGGACCTCGATAACATTCCGTCGGTTGATGTCATCTCTCCTACCATGCCACACATCCCCTCCATGTTTCACAGTCAAACAGATTCAGAGTCAGAATCTCAAGAGACCGATGCTCCCCCGATCATAGTCAAGAACCCAGAGACAACCATATCACCGCTAGCCCTTCAACCAGTTCCAACTCGTAGACGAGGTGGTGGGGGAAAGACCCGTCCCGATGTCCCTAAAGGACGTAAGCGCTCCCGTGACGACATCAAAGAGCAAAAGATAAAGTCTGACGGTGATAGTGAAGATGTTGCTAGCTCTCCTTCTCTCTCAGAGCCTGTCTTATCTCCTAACGGCAGCTCGAGGATTTTCGTCTGCACATACCCAGGTTGTGATAAATCCTATTCAAAGAGTTCTCACCTAAAGGCTCACCTCCGTCGTCACACCGGCGAGAGACCGTTTGCTTGCAACTGGCCCGGTTGCGAGTGGAGGTTCTCTCGTTCGGACGAGTTGGCTCGCCATGAGCGGAAGCACACCGGAGTCAAACCTTTCGGGTGCACAATCTGCGGGAAGAAGTTCACTCGCTCTGACCATCTCTCGAAACATGTCAAGATACACTTTCGTCCTCGTAAACCAAGAGGAGGCAACAATAGACGCCGTGCGTCTCAGATCAGCTCTGTGTCCAGCATTGAAGACTGCACCTCTCCCGTCTCTGTCTCTCCGACTCAGGCTGATGTCTTCTTTGATAATTAAGAACCTCTCTTCTTCTCTCTCTCTCCTTAAAAGAGACATTAGCTTTCTCTCATTTTGGAGTCTGTCTTTTAAAATTATGGACTCATGCAAGTTTTTGACAGGTCTATTATTATCATTATGTTAATTTGTAATCTAGCACGCATACACCTTATAAACAGGGAGCTCTTTGGTGATTCAAAAATTATTATTATTATTATTATTATCGTTATACTACCGACACATCAAGATTATTATATTGTTATTATTATCAAGAATTCTATGCATTATATATATTATTATATATGAATTATTAAATTATATTATTATTATTATTATACAACAAATTCACTGCTCTAAAGAACAAAGAACACGTTATTACCAATATTATCTTGATTTCTCATACAAATTATTATTAATAAAATACTTTCTATTGATCACTGAATTAATTTGAAATAACTTTCCTTTCTCTCTCTCTCTCTCTCTCTACATGTATTGCGATGATGTATATATCATTTTTCATGTAAAGAAATTTATTATAACACTTTTCAAAACAACAGATACTTTTAAAAATGTGCCACCTGCAAGCTCCTTACGCACTCAAAAAGACATGTACATGTACATGTACATAGACACAAATTAATGGCGAATTCAAGTAGGTTATACATTAAGGACACAAGCAAGCACATTTAATGATAAAGAAGTATTTAGCTACACGTGTTTCTCTTTTGTTGTTATTGTTAAAAATTCTTGTGTATATAGCTAAACTGAATGTACATACAAGTAGATATGATACACGCTTATAATGGGACAAAACTTTCCAAAAACAATACAAGCCTGTATTCATTAACAAATGCAAACTGAAACGAAAAAACGAACATCATTGTTGAACAGCTGCAAAGTGAAAGAAGCATTTAAAAAATTGCGCTCTTCATCAATTCATAATGTTACTCAACACTCTCTTAACTCTTCATTCATACACATAAATGAATAGCAGCTGGAAGGTAGAGAATACGAAGGTGTTTACCATTAACTGGAGGTAACAGAACACCAGGACTTATCACTGAACTGTTAGAGACGGGGTGTAACTAGATACGGATTATATTGGCGGTGGATCTCTGAATCTAATTGGAGAGCTGTGAATGTAGCCTTTCCTATTGATAAACATGGGGTAGGTTCTCCCATAGTGGAATATGATCTTGGATACTGAACCATTATTCATAATCTCTGACCTTATCTCTCTCAGCCTGGGCTGACAGTGAATAACATTAGGAGGCAGATGAAAGGACTTACCACACACAAACATCAATACATGTTGGTTCACACACACACACACACACACATGTACACATGAAGACATACAAACACCCATTACCATATTTCAGAGCTCAAACTGTAAGCAAGTTTTAAAGCTCTCATAGCCCCCATATGTGTACATAGCAGTATTACTGAGAATAGTAGCAATACAATGAAATTAACATCTTGTTATTTTGATACTAGCTACAACTTAATTTCTTATAGAAACTACCAACTTCCTGATTTGATACTTGGCAAAGATTGGGTGCCACAATATTTCTATAGCGCTACTCATCTTAAACCCCAACAGGTGGCAATGTTTGAATTATGTAGTGCATAAGTGGCTCTGGTGGTCTAGCTCATACTACAAAGCAGTATTTGCTATAGCTCAATAGCTGACATGCATTGCTGGGCAAAGCAAACAGGCTGAGAAGTGGGTATTGCATTTTTACAGCTGCAACCGTGTGTTGTATGTGTGTGTGTGTGTGTGTACATAGGAGACTTATGATTTAATTAACAGCCACACAATGAGAGAGACAGACTCGCAGACACATGCAATTGAATATCAAGGCATATTGTTTTAATTAAGCTCCTCTGATTACAGGGTCTCACTCGTAGGAGCATGAATACTATTAATTTTTAGTAATTGACAGGGTTTTACTCAAGTTTGAAATACTGATATTCATTTAGTTGTTATCTCTTGTAGTATATCATGAATTTACTCACTATAACAGCATGAATGCCATTAAAACTACATTCTATCCCTTTTGGTAGACTTTTAGCCCTCAAACTGTTCTTTTAAAGCTAAAACGCACTCAATATCTATTACAATAAAGCTCTTAGCTAAGCATTTACAACATGGCTTAAATGTGACAGGCTAGTCTTTAAGAGTGAGCTGCAATAGCTTACATATTAGGTCTGAGGTGTGGCTGACAAATGATCTCAGCATCATTGGATGTCACTTACAGCTGCTTCGTCCTGGAGACACTTTCTCTTCCAGTTACATCTTAGCAGCAATCAAGGGTAGTTTAAAAGGTAACAGGCTACCAGCTACACCAGCACCGCGTCTTTTTCAGCCTTTTACCAACACCACCCCAGCCCAAGTGTATTTTGAGGGGGCGTACCTGAAGCAAGGGTGTGGCTGCTTGCTGCAAATGTGGGGGCGTTGCAGTTTTTATAATAATAATTTATTGATTTATTTATTGTTCAGTTCAAGCATCAGTTTACACCAAACAATGTCATCCTTCCTCTTCTTTATCAAATCATCAAGACACTCTAGTTTTGTGAGCAGTGAAGATAAGGACAGATCTTTATTGCTTGAGGTAGAAGAAGAAGAAATACTGTCATACAATAGCTTTAAATCACGGAGTATGTCCCTAGCTATTGGCATCAATTTATCATCAGTGCTTTCTTTAAATAGAGAATCAGGTTCAGTCTGGGTTGCTGATGTTTCTTGAATCACAGGTTTGGTTCCAGTTTCTAAACACGTATCAGCAACAGGATCAGTCTGAGTTTCGGAGTATTTAGAAACGCTTGTTTCAGTTTGAGTCTGTGCAGTCCTGAGAATGGAAGAATCAACCTGGGTTTCTGAAGATTTGAGATTACATGCTTCAGTTTGAGTTTGAACTTCAGAGTAATCTAAAGCTTTTATTTCTGAGATGCAAGTATCAAAGTTGGAACAGTTCATCTTCTCTTCTCTTTCATTGTAACTGCTACTAGGAGACTTTGAGCTGTCTGAAACAAAAAGAAACTAATAATAATAATAATAATGATAATAATACTAAATAAATAAATAAATAAAAATCAGGCCAAAGTCTCTGTAGTACATGGTCTCGGGTCAAATTTCACCAAAATTGAAAGGAGAGAATTCTCCATTTTTATAATATTTTCTGATACATATACATGTTTTTATGTTGCAAAGAAAGTTTGAGCTGATTCCGATCAAATTTGGATTTTTTATGAATTTTTAAGTTGCTCCAAAATCAGGTAAAAGTTCCTGTACTATAGTACATGGTCTCGGGCCGAATTTTGCCAAAATTGAAAAGGAGAGAATTCTCCATTTTTATAATATTTTCTGATACATATACATATTTTTATGTTGCATAGAAAGTTTGAGCTGATTCCGATCGAATTTGGATTTTTTATGAATTTTTAAAGTTGCTCCAAAATTGGGTAAAAGTCCCTGTATTACCTTTTATCTCATTCAAATCTTCAGTCAATACTGGCTCAACAACCTACAAAGCTAATGTCATTAATATTCTATTAATTTACTATTTTTACTTCATCACAAGTAGAATATTCAGTCTTCTTAACAGGCTTAAAATCACCAGTGAAATCCATCCAATGCCTACTCTGTGGGGTCCTACCGTAATTAGCAAATTCACCTCCATTAAGGCTTGTATCAGCAGATAATGGTTTCTCAAAAGGGACCATCATACTCTCAAAAGCGTTTGAAGTTGTGCGAGCAGGAAGAGAAGGAGAAAGAGGAGCTTGTTTCTTCATCGTTGCTTCAGTAGATGATTCAGTACTTGTTTGTGAGAGGATTTCAGTACAGAGCAACTGTTGAGTGGGTGAGTGAGTCACAATAACTGACTAAAAATAATGTACAAAATAAGCACGTATCTCCATGCATTTTACATAACCTGTTTTTCTGGGGCTAGCATGGAACTGATACCAACAGGATCTTCATCAGATAACACTGGACTGCAACACAATGGAAGTGTATGCTTTTAAAAATATATAATACACAATTTAACCAGCACCAAATTTACCCTGTTTTTCTTTAAAATTGTATCATTTGCAGTTTTAGCAGGCAAGCCCACGAGTGATGCTAATGATTTTTGCTGTACAGTTGAGAAAGGAGTCTAAACACAGATTAATGAACACAAATAGCTAATGCAAGTACATACTTCTCTATCATAAATTGGACTCTTTCTCTTCTTCTTGTAGACAGTTTGATCGTGTCTTGTTCCTTGTCCCTGTTGATGCAGTACAGGTTTCTGCTTGTTATACCAATTGATGTCCTCCCATTGAAATGAAGATTTGTTCTCTAGGCAAGCTAGAGGCTTTCTCTTCCTGTCACGTCTATCATCAAGATCACACTGAAATCTGGCAGGTTTCTTAATTGGGATTTCACTATTAGCTTGTAGAGGCATTGCTTTATAAGGATGAAAGGTTGAATTGGCTAACAGAGTGTGGTCATTGTTTAGAGAATGCTGAAGGATAGGCTTTTTTGAGGAATGATAGTCAGGAAAGATAGACTCAGTGTCTGTTAGGAGAGATCCAGTATGAACATGAAAAGGCTTTGATGGCTTAACGTGTGAATGGAAGATGGACTCAGATAGAAATGAATCATCATTAGGAGGAGGAGGAGGAGGTTTCGTGACTCTGTTGTGTCCAATAGGCAATACTGACTCAGTAAGGATTGAATGATTCTGTGATGTTAGCTCCTGCTTAGGGATAGGAGGAGAAAGAGGATGAAGTTTCCTTTGATGTGAATGAAACACAGACTCATCAAGGAAAGACTCAGAAGTCTCCTCTGCATTAAGTGTTGTATTTAAGCTCCAGTTATGTAACGACTTTTGTCCATTTTTTGCTGTTGGTCTATTTTTAAAGTCCATAGCTGGAGGTGGAAACTTTGCTGTAGAGACTTTCGGTTGATTGTCGTAAAAGGAGATTGAACCAAGGTCTAGCATAGAGGGCTGGGAGCCTGGGGAGGTAGACAGGTCAAGGTTGAAGTTTGACTGCTGGTTAGATGATGGAAGAGTGATCTTTTGTGGAACTCTAGCGCCATTGTCTTTAACCTAAAAGTATCATAATAACAAGCAGCCATTAATTAAGGACTAGGGCTAATTACATTATTATTATACCTTAAATGAGAGAAATAATATTATTATTCATAAAGGATAATTTCGTCATACTAACTTTATTCTCAATATTATGATCATCGCAAGTCTGACGCAAAGCTCTAAGAGATATCAAGTCTTGACTGACAATCCTTTTATACTGAATGTCCATTGGGGGAGAGGACTGGCGGGTACGTTTTGCTGTTCCTCCTCTCCCTATCACTGCATGGCGCTTCCTCTCAAAGAACTCCTAAAATTTGACATTTAATGGTTAGATTTTATATTTCTAATTGCACTTTTTGTAATTTCCTTTCATTTTGATGCCTCACACGAGTCCTATTAAAAGAAAAACTTGGGAAATAATGATAAAAACCAAGAACTAACCTTGCTCCACCTACCCAGTTCATTTTTTTGATTGAACAGGTGGAAGCACGTGGGTAATAACCGCCAATTATTAATCAAAGTTAACTAACTAGCCACACCTCTATTACTCTTACGTCATATGATATAACAACCACGCCTAATACCACGTGATAGTAACGGTCCCGCCTACTTTTACTGCAAATCCAGTTTGCAGAAACTGAAACTTGGAAAGAAAGGCCATTAAAAGGGATTGATATTGCCCCAGGTCTTCAACATGGCGGCTAGAGAGAGTGATTGGGCCTTTGACGAGTTTACTTATGATGAAAAAACAAGAGGTAAGGTTTGACTGGAGGCTATGCCACACCTCCTCCTATCCTCTCCCCCTCTCTCTCCAGATTTAGCTGGTCAAAAAGAGTTAGAGAAATATGAGCAGTTTTTGAAAGAGTACTCAGAGCAGCTGAACGGGATTGAAGAAGCTCTGGACGATACTCTCGGAGACCTTTGGGACTTTACACTTGACCCAGTCGGACTACAGGTAATATATACATGTATATACATGATTATTATAATTATGTTATTATTGTATTTTATTTTTAGACGACTCCTTACGAAACTGCAGCACTGAAGGATCTCATTAGAACCGATCACAAGATCCTAAACAAGGTTGTCACGATCTTCTCATCTCTGTGCTCTGAGATTACTGAGCACAAGCAAAAGGTTTGAGGCACATTATGGCTTCTTTGTGTAATTTTTAGAGGAGTTTAGTAAATTACTCCAAAATAAAACCTACCTTTTTGTACAATTATACATATTTGCCAAATAAAATTTGTTAAAAAATATGCCATTTTGCTAAAATTTTATTCCTCTAAAATCACCACCTGCTATATGTATTTTTTAATGTCACAGGCTGTGACCAAGTTTTATATTCCACTGCTGATGTATGGAGAAGGAGGTATGGAGGAGAGAGGGAGAGAGAGAGGGGATGCTCTTTCTCTTTATAGGGAAGGAAGATTTAGGAGAACAAGATGGGGAGAGCCAGCTAATGATTGGCCATAGCATAGCGATGCTTCAGGTCTGGTCTCTTCTCTTTTATAATTTTAATTGCTTGGCCATTGTATTTTTAATGGCTTGCCTAAATATTTTTTTATCTTTAATTTAGGATTTAACACTTTTTATCAACCGGATTAATGTTTTAGTGAGAGATATAATATTACAACTAGCATCACTTTATAGTGCTGAAAAGTACATGAGACATAATGTAGTGTGTACATTTACATGTTTAACTCTCTCTCTCTCCCCTCCCCCCTCTTTCTCTCTCTCTGAAGTACCATGAAAGTCATCAATGCTACTGGCATTCATCTTCAAGTTAGTGTTTTTTATGTATAAATCTATCTACCCATCTCCCTCTCCCCCTCTCTCTCTCCTCTCTCTAGACTGTCTTTGAACATTTAGCTGACGCCCTGGCAATACTGATAACCCTGGACAGCATATTTGATCATAATGTGGTACTTAGGGATCACTGGACCTTGTACAAGAGGTAAGGAATGAAGCCAGAGGAACAAGAGAACAGAGAGAGAGAAGGTGTTTATTTTTCTTTTTAGAGTTTTAACGTCGATACGAGGAGCGCCACAGGAATACGACATCGAAGAACCAAAGCTAAGACAATTGGAGAAGTTACTCGGAACCATTGAAGGGAAACTGATGGATGGAATGATATTCAAAGTAAATTTCGCTAAAAGTAGCACACAACTACACATGTGCATGTACTGTATTTTATTATAAATAATAATTGTACGTTATTGTTTTTCTTCCCAGACTTGTGTACAACAGATATTTGATATCGATGTTACTCAGAATCAGCAGCTTCATGGCGAGTTTTTATACTGCATGGGAGAGATGTATCAACACATTGACTTAAGATTAGGTAACATTATGTGCTTCCATTGCATACATGTATATACATGTACATGTACATGTAATAATTATAATAGTATCACTCTCTTTACTGTACATGTACTTGTAGTTGAGTCAAGAGAGAAGGATTCAAGGCAGCAAGTAATGGGTCTCTGTGGCCTATTGGTGTTTCATCATCGGCTGTTTAATGTACAAGAAAAGAAACTAGCCAAACTAGTCTGGGACTGGTACAAGAAAGTATGGGCTCTCCTTCCATCATGTAATCAATCACTGTATCCTCCCCTCTCTCTCTCTCTAGATTCCAGCTATCCATGTTGTTGGAAACCTGCTGTTCTTCCATACTGACTTCCTTCGTTATAATTTAGAGTACATGCCAAGGATATTGGATAAGAAATCAGTAGCAGCTGTTGAGAATGCAAGGGACCAATGGCTGACTTCATCTGGACAAAATATAACAAGGTATTATTATTATTATTATTATTATTATTATTATTATTATTTTATTTTTTAAGGATGGCTCATCAGTTTTATGTCTCTGTGTCCAGTTGGATGATCAAAATGGAGTCAGAATTACCAGCTAAACATTTGGCAGCTGCAATCACTCAAGAGGCTGCCCTACTCATTGAAGTAATTATTAACTTTTTTAAAACTCAAAAACTTGATTTTTTTACTCTCCCTCTTTCTCTCCAGGGGATGCTAATGGCTTTCACTATTAGTAACTTCATGGGAACTTTGTTGAACCTTCATTATGTGCTCCGTCGTCCTATGACCAAGTCAGGTGTACTTGCCGTCTGTCGTATGGCCGAGTTATTGAAGTCGATACAAGCCACGTATCACCGATCCTCACTAAAGATGATAGAGTATATCTCACTCTCTGTTAATGAATATGAGATCTTGATACTTGATGCCCTGGAGAGAATGACGGTAAGTTCTCTATTCTCTCTCTCCACCTCCTCTTGACGTTAATGTCTTCATTTTTTGTAGAAAACTGTTCAAGATACTCAGCAAAAGAAATATTCTGAGAGATCTCTGGTAAGTTATAAAAGATATTCAATCATTATGTAGCATCACTATACTGAGCTAGGGGATGCCCCTACTGATGGAATGCAGTAATTAGTTATCTTCTTTCTCATAGGATGTACTGGCAGCTCTGTCCCTTATGAAAATGGTCATAAACGGCCCCGGTCAGTCCCTCTGTACATGTACATGTAACTCAATTAGTTTCATTTGGTTATTTACTATTATTCTACTCACAGCCACTAAAGAGAGGAGGCTCGTCTCAAAGATAGTCTATCCTTTCTTTGCATTGCAGGTGTGACATTTTGTATAATCATTATATTAAAATTTGGTTTAATATTTTTCCTTTTTTTTGACATGTACATGTATATCATTTTTTTGATTTTGTAGAGGCAGTTTTTAAGAGAAGATGAAAAATTCGTTGGCCTCTTGAGGAAACTTGACGCAATTTCAGAACTTCAAATGAAGTAGAGTCTAACCAGCTGCTATTAAACATTATCTTTCCCTCTCTTTCCCAGAATACAGCAAGCCTGTGACTGCTCTTTTCTTTATTGGCACAAAGTAAGAATAGTATCCAGCTGCAACTTGCTATTTATTTATTTATTTACAGGAAGCTATAGTTCCTTTATACTTCACTTATATTTTTCACAATCCGTCAGAAGCTCATCGCTTACATGTAGGAAGACTCTAAGTCGTCTCTCTCCATTTACCTTTACATTCCTCCTCTCTCTCTCTCTCTACATGTAGTACATGTTTTCCACGATGAGCGATTCAGTACCAATCATCAAGTGGTGCCGCCATCTTGAGTCGAAGGACCAGCTCCTCACGATATTTGAGGATGACATATATGGTCATTTGAAAGAGGTACATGTACATGTACTGTAGGAAAGAAGCTATTTTATTTATTTTATTTTTATGAAACAGAAAATTCTTGATCCTTTATGTAAAGCTGTAGAGGAGGACCTCAGGCTTAGTATTCATCTTCACCTTAAACTGGACGACAGGAATCCTTTCAAAGTCAGTCCGTTCCGTTCCTGTTTTGTCGCTATTTTATTGTTTTAGGTGGGCGGAGTCAGAGATCTGAAGCACCTTCTCTGTATAAAGCCTGTTAGGTTTTTTGACAGAATGATTGACTTTAAAGGTTTGAAAAAATTTTATGTGTTATATTCTTTCAGGTACTTTTTTGCTCCTTTAGCTTATGTGACCAATTACCTTGATCTGACATTTTACGAGCTGAACACCGTCTCTCTCTCTGACTGGAAGACTTATGGTGACATGAGAAAACTTGCAGAGCAGAAGTATGGCCTTGTGATGCTTGAGCCTCACCTCCCTAGCGCTACACTGGAGCAGGGACTGGATGTGCTTGAAATAATGAGAAACATACATCTCTTTGTCTCTGGCTATTGCTACAATTTGAACAATCAGGTTAGTAGTTTTAAAATTTAGAAGAGCAGTTAAAATGGCTGTGAACGCCTCCTTGGCGCAGTTGGATAGCGCGTCAGTCTCATAATCTGAAGGTCGTGAGTTCGAGCCTCACAGGGGGCAGTTCTTTTTTTTTCTTTTTTTTTTGCACATTCAAGCAGTACATGTATATTGTTTTTTTTCTTTTAGATTTTTGTACAGAGAAGCTCCAACAACAAACATTTAAACACAATTAACATACAGCACATAGCAAACTCCATTAGGACTCATGGCACGGGTATCATGAACACTACGGTAAGTTTGAAATGAGCAGCTGGAATAAAAGCTCTTCATTTTGTGTACACTTAGGTTAACTTCACCTATCAATATCTTAGAAAGAAATTTTATATTTTCTCTCAGTTTATGTATGATGAACACATCAAAGCACGTTTATTGAAAGTACATATCATTTATATATTTATTTATATTTATTACGTTTTTTCTAAATAAGGAAATACGGTATTACAGGGAGCATCAGTTTGACCCAGAAGTTGATCAGAAAGTAAATTAATTCTTTATATGGGCGTGTGTTTAGGGGTGTGGTTTTCTCGTAGTATCCTTTCTCACGGGCGGAGCACTTCAATCGTGTTATACGTAAGCTAGGCTTGAATCAGGAAGGACTCAGCTACCTTGATCAGTTTAGGACTCTAATTATTCAATTAGGTATTGCACTAACATAATTATTATTATTTATAACTAACTCTTGTGCCAGAGAAATATGTCCATGTACACATAACCTTATCTTTATTCTCTTTCTTTTAAGGGAATGCAATGGGGTACATCAGGATGATCAGGTCAGGGGGTCTCCATTGCTGTAGCTCTGCCATCCGGTTTATCCCTGACTTGGAAGATATTGTCATTTTCGACGATCTTAGCAAAGACACTCAAGTCTCTCAAGACATCAAAACTTCAGCAAAGTGACTATAATCATCCTTTTCATGTATTGTTCATCAATTTCTTCTCTCTCTTTTTTTTCTCTTTCTTTAGGATTCTAGATGATGTCATTGGTAATTTAGCAAGGAATTTTGCAGAGGGGACTGAATATTTCAAGGTACTAAGTGGACTAGTTTCGTATTAATTCATTCAATATTTATTGGAATCAGCTCAAACTTTCTACACAACATAAGAACATGTATATGCATCAGAAAATATGATTAAAATGCAGAATTCTTACCTTTTCATTTTTGGCGAAATTTAGCCAAAGTCCCTGTACTATAGTACAGGGACTTTGAGCCGATTTTGGAACAACTTTAAAAATTCATAAAAAATTCAGGTTTGATTGGAATCAGCTCAAACTTTCTACATAACATAAGGACATGTATATGTATCAGAAAATGTAATAAAAATGCAGAATTCTCACCTTTTCATTTTTGGCAAAATTTGGCCAAAGTCCCTGTACTATAGTACAGGGACTTTGAGCCGATTTTGGAACAACTTTAAAAATTCATAAAAAATCCAGATTTGATTGGAATCAGCTCAAACTTTCTACATAACATAAGTACATGTATATGTATCAGAAAATGTAATAAAAATACAGAATTCTCACCTTTTCAATTTTGATGAAATTTGGCCTGAGACCATGTACATGATGTATAGTTCATAGTCACGAGGGACAGAGTAAGGTAGGGGACTAACTATTTGACTGTATCCTTTTTGACTTGCTGTTTTGTTAATGTATGCTGTTCTCTCCAAAATGATGTCTGGACAGTCTGGTATCATGAGATTCATGACCGACTGTTTGTGTGAATTACAATTTCACTGTTACACTAATGAAGTGATTAAAATTGCAAACACACTCACGTACCTTTGTACCAATAGCTGTCAGAATCATTGATAGTGTGTCTATAAACAAACTCATATATTTATACTCCCAAATAATCATTTTAATGGTCTTATTAATAATGATCCCTTTGAAGTATGGCTGGTATGTTAATCATGGTCTCTGTTATTGGTAGAGGGTAATTCCTCCTCTTGAACTTATGCATATCTACCTTGTCTGTTTGTTTGTTTTCACTGGCCAGTTTAAATCTAAAAATATTATAAAATTAATGATTATTATCTTCCACTGTGAACTATTCTTGCTTGTATAAATGCACGTACATGTGTATACATGTGATAAATTTTATTTATTTTTTCTACTTTCTTTTAGCTACTTGTTGATGTGTTTTCATCTGTTTTTCGAGATCCAAAGAATCGACATTTGCAAAACTTTTACATGATAGTTCCGCCACTGGTGAGCTCACTAATAATGGATCCTTCTTCCCTTCATCCTTGTTATGTTCTTTCTCTCTCTCTCTCTCTCTCTCTCTCTCTCAGACCCTCAATTATGTTGAGTACATTATTCAAGCGAAGGATAAAATGAATCGGAAAAATGCCAAAGGTTCTGCCTTTACTGATGATGGTTTTGCTATGGGTATGGCAGTAATTATAATAATATCAGTATTTAATTATGTGGGGGCGTGTCTGTAGGTGTGGCTTATATATTGAAGCTGGTCGATCAGTATCATGCATTTGATTCATTGCACTGGTTTGACTCTGTCAAACTTAAATATAGGACAGAAATGGTATGTCATTAATTATTATTATTATTATTATTATTATTATTATTTATTATTATTTATTATTATTATTAGTATTATTATTTATTATTATTATTTATTATTATTATTAGTATTATTATTTATTATTATTATTTATTATTATTATTAGTATTATTATTTATTATTATTATTTATTATTATTATTAGTATTATTATTTATTATTATTATTTATTATTATTATTTATTATTATTATTTATTATTATTATTATTGTATTTGTTGTACTATACTCAAACAAATTAATTTAATAACTTAACCTTCAATTAATGGCTGTCTGTGACAGTGACACTGTTATGTCTCCTTATGTACGTGTAATGAAACTGATAAATTCAATTTTAACAAGATATAACATTCCTCAAGGCAGCCATTTTGTAATGTAAATGTAATCTATTGCTGCGTGTAATTGGTTTTATGTACATAGCAGCTGTTTTTGTTCTTTTAAATTTCAATTTTTTTCTACAATCCTTTTTTTAGCGTGAGTTGGCCCAGTCCAGTGTTAGAGGTAAAGGAGATGAAAAGTTACAGCAGACGATGCAGCTGTCACAGAAAAGACTTGAAGCTTACATGAGGGTGAGTCAGGGTAGGTTCTCTCTACGACTTTCCCCTCTCTCTCTTTCTTTCTCCCTAGGAATTTGATCTGTTAGACTATTCATTGTTGAGTGCGAGGATATTCTTTAGAGCTGATCTCACAGCTAAAGAGGAGCAACAGGATGCTCCAGCTGCTCCAACGAGTGAAGAGAAACCATCAGAAGGACCCCCTCCTCCTTCCAGTGGAGGGGACAGTGGCCCACCACCCCCTCCTGACCCTCCTCCACCTGGGGGTATGTGTATCTTGTTTTGTTCTAGTTTATCTGTAGTTATGCCTATCTTTTAATTTCTGTTTATCTTCCCTTGGCCCTTGTTTGTTGTTTGTTACTGTTTTTGCCTTCTTTCATAATAAATTATTATTGTTTAATTACAGGTGCTCCACCTCCCCCTCCACCACCTCCTCCCCCACCACCTCCCCCTCCTCCTCCTCCTCCTCCTCCAATGTAGAAGAAATTCCTCATACGATATGTGGACTCTGTGTATTTCTATAATTTGTGGCGCTGTGTGTTTGTGTGTAAAATTTTGTACTTTTTTGGCTACTATGATAATTTATAACTTTATTTAATAACTAACTATGAATAATGATTAGCTCTAATAATAATTAATGATGGGTGTGGCTGGATTGCTGCTTTTTTTTTTTTGCTGAAAAGCGAGTTTTGTATGCGCCTTGATAAAAGGGCAGTAGGAGAGCTCGTTTCTGTTGTATAATACACAAGTCTAGCGTCTCCAAGAATGTCAGCCTTTCTCCGCTTAAAATTACTCAAGGCAGAAGTAGCTCCTGCCCCTGGAGTAGCTAGGGTAGACACTTTTGCGGCGGTGAGCATCAAAGAGACGGAGCAGTCGCCACAAGGTCCTGTGTTAGTCCAAAAGAAGAAAACCTTTTATCCTGAATGGGGGAAATGCTTTGACTCTCACCTTGTGACTGGTAGGAGGATGATGGTAAATAATAAACAAATAAATAAATACACAGAATGTGAGATTTACTTATTATGATGATGAAATGACATTGAAAGTTGCTAGCTCTCTCCCTCTCTCTTTCTTTGCTTGCTTATCTCTATATAATTGTCTCTTTAGGTTGAAGTGATGGATAGAGCTTCCCCTGAGACAAAGATAGCTGAGATGGTTGTGGAGACTGAGGAGCTTTCCTCAATATGTAAGGAGGAGCCTGATCCATCAAGTGCTATCAATCTAGCAGTGAGTGAAGATCTACTGTATATTATATGCTGTAGAGCAGCCTTATATTGCAGTATCTTTGGTACATACATGTATGACTAAGAATGGATTATCTATTCTTGATATAACCTACAGGCTACCTCTTATTGCTATATAGCTATCTAGCTTATTTTTAGTTACACAATCTAAGTTATATAATACGATTTGGCTGTAAAGCATGTTATAGTAGCTGCAGCTGCTACTTCCCTCTCGTATTATTGTGTTTTGTCTTGAATCTTTATTAGTAACTATGGCATTTACTTGTTGATGTGTGTGGTTTTGGTTGTATAGTACACATCACTTACTATGAGTGGTCCCTCCTATATCAGGAGTACGTATATTAAGTAGTAAAAATTAGGAGAAGTAAAAAGCACTAAGCTTATTAAATTGATTCAAAAAAGGTAAAGTAGCAAAAGGAAGGTCAAGTAGGGAGCAAGGGAGGGAGTATTGATATAATATATTTGTAATAATAATTCTTCTTATGGTAACCCTTGCTCTTCGGACCTTCCTGGACAAGTGATGATGTGTGTTGTTTTTATACATGGTGTCAAAATAAATCCTTTTGCTATTGTGGGACCATGACTTTATTAATTATCAATTAGCAGCTGCTAATGTACAAGTATTTGACAGCTCTTACCACCTCTCTCTCTCTCTCTCTCTCTCTCTCTCTCTCTCTCTCTCTCTCTCTCTCTCTCTCTCTCTCTCTCCTTCTTTCCTTGCAGCTGGATCTAAGACCCAAAGGGAAACTCATACTACAGGTTAAACTGTATGGACAAACATCAGGTATACATACATGAAATAATTTATATATTGTTTTTCACATGAATATGTGTGATTGCCGCACCTGCAGTGTGATTTACTTACTTTAGTCTTATCTGGCACTATAGAACTCCCATTCTATATCCTTGTTAATTCCTGTTGTACATGACCCATGTCCTTGTACATACAGGCAGACAGCCATTAATGGTTATAGCAGCTATAGAGGGGAGTAGGTGTTCTTGGAAGCCATTGTAGTTTGTATACATACAGGGTAATGTATTTTCTGTCACTCCCTCTACATTCCAGTGTAATGAACCTCTCAGATGTTCACTCAGTCGTCCCTATATAGTACTAGTATTGTATAACTGAGATCTCCTTATTGGAGCAGCTGTAGTTTACTAGTTTTTACATTTAAATTTAAAATTGCTTCATTCTCAGGTGGAGTACGTATGATGTCAATTTTATGTTGCATTAATTTGTTTCTGAAATAAGAGAATAGAGAGAAAGGTGTAGGGTAGGCCCTACATGTACATGTACGTACAATTTATCAATTTGTGTGGGCAATTTGTGTCTTCTCCTTTCCCTTTCTCTCTCCTTCTCTCTCTCCCCAACTCTCTCTCTCTCTCTCTCTCATTCAGCTTGTATGTCATCAGTTGCTAGTATCCTTTCATTCTTATCTTAATGATCACAGGTGTAGTATCACTTACATAATAATGTCACTAATCATTATTATTATAGTATAATAGTAAATACTCTTAATTGTACACAATATGATGGAGAGACCCTTACAAATTCATGTGTACCTGTATAGCCATTGTGTTTACATGTACATGTATACATGTTTGTACATGTATTTGCGTGTGTTTGTCAAGTAGGTTGTAGTTACTGAAAACTTTGTGAATGCTTTGAATTACTTTCAATTATACTAATAATAATATTGAAATTAATAACAATGGAATGATAATGGCACAATATCTGTCAAATTATTGTTTATAGTAATAATAATATAATAATAATGATGATAATTAATGGGTGACGTGACTCAGTTATGCAGGAATACTAGTTGTACATTGGATTATGATAACTGCATGCTATGAACACTAAATATTATCTACTATGAAGCTATTGTGTCACATTGTACTGGCAGACCACTAATGGTCTCCTTATTACATGTACATTTACATGTAGCTATGCTTACATTACATGTACTTCTTGTAGACTGTCCTGCTGACAGAACTCCGGAGCATTTAGAGTCTTTGCCAAAGAATGCAACAGCTCTTCGTGGGAGACGTAATGCCATTCACCTGAGGCAATTGTCAGTTTGTGAAAGGAAGGGACATCGGTTTGTGAAGAAGTTCTTCAGGCAGCCGGTGTATTGCTCTTACTGTCATGAGTTCTTGTGGTATGTGTTTATATTTATTTGAATTAAATGTGTGGCTCTCTTTCTCTCATTTTTAAATACATAAATGAGTGTATCAGTTTTGTCTTCTTTAAACTTTATTTTGCTCTTGTCTTCCAGGGGATTTACAAAGCCAGGGTTTCAGTGTCAAGGTATTGCAGCAATGATTACTTAACTTTAATTTATTTGTTGTTTTATATTCTCTAGTATGCGCTTATACTTCACATGTGAAATGTGTTGAATCAATCATTGCCAACTGCACTGGAGCTACAGTACACGCTACACTCTCCAAGGTATGTCATGTCATGTAGATGGATACAGTATAGCCTCTCTTAATGGACACTCTCTATAGCATACACCTCCATTTAACGGACAGCACCTAGTGTACCAATTACATTCCTTACTGTATAAAATAACCTCCACATAAAGGACACCTCTGTATAACAGAGACACTTTCTTGTACCAAAGTGTCCATTATATAGAGGCTACACTGTACATACATACATAATTACATACACCATTATCTACTTGATGCTGAACTTTCTGTATTTTCTGTTTAATTGTTTGTTGATGTACTTTGCATAATGTACAATACCTGTCTCTCTCTTCCTTCCTGATACTTTTAGCTGCCATATAATATTATAGTAACATTTTAATTCCTAATCCATCACAATGAGTTCCTTTCTCTCTTTAGAATCTTAAAGAAAGGTTCAAGATTGATATGCCACATCGTTTCAAACCTCACTCATTTTTACGTCCGACTTTCTGTGATCATTGCGGCCAACTAATGCGGGGGTTGTTTAGGCAAGGAGTAAAATGTGGCGGTAAGATAATAATAATAATAATAATAATAATAATAATAATAGTAATAATAATAATAGTAATAATAATAATAATGATAAATCAGGATCAAAGAATGTGTTCAAGTTCTCCTACACAACATACATGTATATTCAATCGTGTTCAGTCTGTCCTATTAAGTATATCAACACATGTTTTATAATTTGATTAGTTAAAGCGTTGACTCCTTTTTTATTTAAAAATAAAATTCCTACAGAAATTAGTCGGTCACTATACCACACTCATTAAACCAATTTCATAGTAGCTAATAGTCTGTTTACTTGCTCAAATCTCATTCACTCCCACCCTCCCTTCCTGATCCTTCCCTCTGAACAGGAAGATGGAGTCACTATCTCCTTTTATCTCTTTTTCAGTTTGGTTGTGTACTTCAGTATTGCTTGTGTAGCTATCCTCCTCCTCTTGTGTACCAATTAGGTGCTCCCTATCTTGTATGTGTATTTCCCAAGCCACTCTGTGACATAAGGTGTTTTTGTCACCAGCATATACTAGACTTTCATTATAGAGGAGTAAGGAATATCCACTAGACGTTTCTACATGTACAGAATGTGTTTCAAGAGCCTCTTATATTGTGTATAGGGGTTGGTATATGATATATTATTTATTTATTTGTTTGTTTATTTATTTTATGGCAGTGTGTGGAGTCAATTGCCACAGTCGTTGCCAGCCCAACATACCTAACCTCTGTGGAGTGAATGAGAGACTAATGGCTGAAGCACTCAAGGACGTGGACGAGGTTAAAAAGAAGAGGCTGGTCAGTTTCCCCTAGAACAAACAGTTAATTTATCCTCCCTGCTCTGTTCTACCCCCCTCTCTCTCTTTTCCCTTTTAGTCAAGTAGTAGTAGTGCAGGGTCAGTTGTTAGTCCTAAAGGAGGAGCAGGTGCTATAGGAGGAGCAGCTCCTAAGCCTCCACTGGCAGCAATACCTGATGACCACGAGATTTACATGGATGTGACACAAGGTATGGAGAGAGAAAGAACTTCTGGTGGAATATTTGAAATTTATTGTTTGTATAGATATGATCAAGCCAACGGTTCCATCAAGAAAAGGTGAGAGAGAGAGAGAGAGAGAAAAAAGAGAGAGAGAGAGAAAAAAGAGGGAGAGAGAGAAAAAAGAGAGAGATATATATATGACAGCTGGTGGAGAAGAGAGAGTTTATATTTATTTCATTTAGGTAACGGAGCAGCTGGACGAGCTCCCCCTCCTCCTGTCCCTCACAAACCAGCCAAACCTTCTTACAAACTGAGTGACTTTCAATTAATCAAAGTCCTCGGGAAAGGAAGCTTTGGAAAGGTGATCAAATTATTAATGACATCACTGTCATATGACAATCTTGTGCTTAAATCCTTTAGGTACTTCTTGCTAAGTTGTCGAAGGGAAACGAGTCCTATTTTGCCATTAAAGCTCTCAAGAAAGACGTTGTACTAGAGGACAACGACGTGGAGAGCACTTTTGTGGAGAAAAGGATATTAGCGTTAGGATCCAGTCATCCTTTCCTGACTCATCTTTTGTGCTCATTTCAAACTCCAGTAAGAAGAAGAAGAGAGAGAGAGAGAGAGAGAGATTAGGTTTTGATGCTTGCTAGCCTTGCTGCTTATATAAAATCATCACTTCTCTTTTCTTGTATTTCCTCCTTCCTCTCTCTCTCTTTCTTTTCTCTTCTTTAGAGTCATCTCTTCTTTGTGATGGAGTACCTCAATGGTGGCGATCTCATGTTCCACATTCAAGTCTCGCATAAATTCAAATTGCCTCGTGCCCGTTTTTATGCAGCTGAAATCATCTGTGCCCTCCAATTTCTACACAGCAAAGGAATTATATACAGGTGAATATGGCCCGCCTTTTTATTTTGCCATAAAGATATTCAAAAAATTGTTATTGCTACATAATGGTATAGTATAAGGGGATCAATCAGTGGGTATTTTTGGAGCCAATTTAGAGAGAAAATTAAAGCATGGACTATATAGTCATAATAACATTACTTTCTAGTTCAAAATTTGTAATTGAGTTTTAGCAAAATTTCATGCCTTGCTTTTATTTATGTATGTTTTTTTACTAAAATTATTCTAGAGATTTAAAACTTGATAATGTGTTACTGGATTGCGATGGTCATGCTAAGTTAGCTGATTTTGGCATGTGCAAGGAAGGAGTGTTTGCACCAAATAAAACAGGAACATTTTGTGGTACCCCAGACTACATCTCACCAGAGGTATACTCCATACATGTACATGCACAGTATATACTTCACTACTTAAGAGTTGATTAAGTTGCTTCAAAATTTGGCCAATCTCAGGCCAAATTTCGCCAAAATTGAAAAGTAGAAAATTCTCCATTTTTATAGTATTTTCTGATGCATATACATGTTCTTATGTTGCATAGAAAGTTTAAGCTAATTCCAATAAAAATTAGATTTTTTACGAAATTTTTGAAGTTGCTCCAAAATCGGATAAAAGTCCCTGTACTATTAGTAACGCGGTAGCGTTATTAGTAACGCGGTAGCGTTACTAAGTAGGATTCACCCCCAAACAAAATGGCTGCCATGACTTTTGCAGCCTTGCTATACCAGGAAAACGAGCTCCTTTGCTTACCAGACTTCTTAGAGGACCTTATCTTGACCAGAGGACTCCAATGGTACCCATAGCGTGGCTCTAGACCTTTTCTGGGAGAAAAATAAAAAATCTGCAAACCGGCCGTTTTGTTCAGCCACCTTTTTTCATCTTCATCATCATCATCATCATCATCAGGAAAGTCCTGTCAATCCAGTTGTCGGTCAATATATCAATCTTACCTGGTGATAGAAGGCTAATTCTTACACCATTCTACTCCAACAGGGTATGCGCAGGTCCTTGTTCCCTAGAATCATTCTCCAAGAAAGGAAAAAGTGATACTGTGACTGTTGGATCGCACCAGCTTACCTCATGCCGCCATTTTGTTAATTAAATAAAGAAGCATGTGCTCCAAAAATTTGGGTGTGGTCGCGCATGCTCAGATCTCAGAACTGGGAACAGCAAGTAATCTTTTACGTAGCTAGGCTAGCTATGGTTGGAATCAAACTGCATAGGCGGCGGCAGGGTTGGGCATGGACGGGCAATGCCCGACCAAAAATTTTGGCCGGAAACGAAAATTTAATTAATGACATCATTTTAGTCATAAATAATTACCATGGCTAGCAAGAGACAGTCTTTTCTGCTTTCCTTTGTCAACAAGCCTTCCAGGAGGACCAGGACTAGCTAGCATTTTACAGGTTGGATAGAGCTTTACAGATAAGATAGGGGGCCTTTTAGGCTCATTTTTATGCTATATCATATTGTATGAGTGCGTTGAGTATACGCCCAAAATACGTGGGGAAAAGTGGGTGTGGCCAAAATCGCGGCGCGCTTCGCGCGCCATTCTTTGCCCGACTGCTCCTCAAATCCTGCCGCCGCCTATGTCAAACTGCAATACTTAGTGGAGGTTTCCAGCTAAGAGAAGGTATTAATCTTGCATATATCAAGTGTGTAATGAATTATTTTATTTCAAAAACACAAAGCAATTAATTAATGTTTATAATACTAGTGATAATATGAACTTGACAACAGGAAGAACCTGCAGGAATAGCTACAGGATTGCTGGAAAGATAGAGCTTCTTGAACAAGGATTCACATCAAGACTATAGTATTTATTTCACTTTTCATCAGTATAGTAGATATTTTTTCACCATATCTATTCAATTCAATCAGTGCTGTCCCTCATAAATGCTGTAAAATCATAACAATGACAACAATAATAAAGAAACTTATTGTTTGTGTAAAATCAAAAAGCATCACAATTGTAACTGAAAAAATATAAATATTATAAAAAAATAAACACAAACAAGAACATAAAAAATTTAAAAAAACAAGAT